CTTTGGAAAAATGCTTGCTTCCGCGTCTTTACTTGGAGTTGGGGGTTTTCTGGAACACTGACAGAGATGTTGACAGACTGGATTCAGGCATCAGATCAGGGGCTGGACTTCAGTTTCTTCCCACTGATTTTGATATAATTCAATGTCAAAATTCCATGGTTGGAGGGAGCAGAGTTTATTGCATTAATATGTGGGATCATCTTCAAAGATCATAGCACTTAAGAAAATACTGTAATCTACCTGCAAGGCTGAGATTTGCTGGCTTCATCAGTACCTTGGCCTCTTGTTTATATGGTTTACGTATCACCTGTTCTACATGGATGTCCTGTATTTTGTGCTGGATTGTACACCAGACACATTTCAGAATTGAATTACAGACAAATGTGCATGGTTGGACATCCCTTTCATTGGAATGTGGTTGGGATCACAACCCAGAAGGGACAAGATGACCAAGGAAGGAACAAAAATTAGTGTCAAATACAGTAATCTGCAAGATCCCAAACATTTAAATTATCTGGCATTTATTTATTTATTTATTTATTTATTTATTTATTTATTTATTTATTTATTTATTTATTATTCGAATTTCTATACCGCCCTTCTCCTTTCGGACTCAGGGCGGTGAACAGCCAAAATAAAAACATTTATACATAAATACGATTAAAAATAGATTTAAAATAATTAAATTTGGCCCATAGTTTAAAATTTATCAATTTAAAATCCATATCAAAATTTAAAACCAACCATAAAATCATAAAATCAAGAGAGACCGGCTAACTGAAAGAGATGAGTTTTTAGGGCCCGACGAAAGGTCCGGAGGTCGGAGATCACTCGTATCTCTGGGGGTAGATTGTTCCAAAGGGTAGGTGCCACCACAGAGAAGGCTCTCCTCCTGGGGGTCGCCAGCCGGCATTGTCTAGCCGATGGCACCCTGAGGAGGCCCTCTCTGTGGGAGCGAACTGGCCGGTGGGAGGCTATTGGTGGCAGAAGGCGGTCCTGTAGGTACCCTGGCCCTAAGCCATGGAGCGCTTTAAAGGTGATCACCAACACCTTGAAGCACACCCGGAAGTCCACCGGAAGCCAATGCAGCTCGCGCAGGAGAGGAGTCACATGGGAGCACCCAGTCGCTCCCATAATCCCCCGCGTGGCCGCATTCTGCACCAGTTGGAGCCTCCGGGTGTACCCCAAGGGGAGCCCCATGTAGAGAGCATTACAATAGTCCAGACGAGAAGTGACGAGTGCTTGAGTGACTGTGCGTAGGGAGTCCTGATCCAGAAAGGGGCGCAACTGGCTTATCAGGCGAACCTGATCAAAAGCCCCCCTGGCCACGGCCGTCATATGCCCTTCTAAGGACAGCTGTGCATCCAGGAGGATGCCCAAGTTGCGGGCCCTTTCCGTGGGGGCCAATGATTCACCCCCAATAACCAGCGATAGTGTCAGCTGGCTATACCGGGACGCTGGCAGCCACAGCCACTCGGTCTTGGAAGGGTTGAGTCGAAGCCTGTTTCTCCCCATCCAGACCCGCACGGCCTCCAGGCACTGGGACATCACTTCCAAGGCATCGTTGGGATGGTCTGGGGTGGAGATGTACAGCTGAGTATCATCAGCGTACTGATGGAACTCCACCCCAAAACCACGGATGATCTCACCCAGCGGCTTCACATAAATGTTGAACAGGAGGGGCGAGAGGACCGACCCTTGTGGCACCCCACAAACAAGGCGCCTCGGGGTCGACCGCTGCCCCCCTGTCAACACGGATTGCAACCGGTCGGAGAGATAGGAGGAGAACCACCGCAAAACGGTGCCCCCCACTCCCAGTCCCTCCAGCCGGCGCAACATGATACCATGGTCGATGGTATCAAAAGCCGCTGAGAGGTCTAACAGGACCAGGATAGAGGAGTAACCCCTATCCCGAGCCCTCCAGAGATCATCCACCAACGCGACCAATGCCGTTTCCGTGCTGTACCCAGGTCTGAAACCGGACTGGAGCGGATCCAAATAGACAGCTTCATCCAGGTACCGTGGAAGCTGTCGCGCCACCACACTCTCAACAACCTTCGCAATAAAGCGAAGGTTGGAGACTGGACGATAGTTAGCCAAAACAGCCGGATCCAGGGATGGCTTCTTGAGGAGAGGCTTCACCACCGCCTCTTTCAAGGCGGCCGGCAGGACACCCTCACTCAAAGAATAATTCCCTGGAGCCAGCCTCGTGTAACCTCCCGGGAAGCCAGCACCAACCAGGAGGGACACGGGTCCAATAAACATGTGGTGGCGTTCAGCCGTCCCAAGATCCTGTCCACGTCCTCGGGAGCCACAGGATCAAACTCCTCCCAGATAACATTCTCAAGGCCTGCCTCAGTCATCTCGTCTGAACTAACCCAGTCAGTGGCCAAGTTTTCCCGAATCTGAGTTATTTTATCATCCAGATACTGTACAAAATCCTCAGCTCGGCCCTGCAAGGGGTCCTCCCACGCTCCCAGATGGAGAAGGGAGCGGGTCACCCTGAACAGAGCGGCTGGGCGGTTATCTGATGACGTGATAAGAGCGGCAAAATAGCTAGATTTCGCCACTTTTATCGCCACTAGGTAGGTCTTAATATGAGACCTTACCAGTGTCAAGTCGGATTCAGAACGACTGGCCCTCCAACCGCTCTCTAGGCGTCTTTTCCGGCACTTCATCTCTCTCAGCTCCTCAGAGAACCAAGGAGCTAAGTGAGTTCGGTGCCGGGTCAGAGGCCGCAAAGGCACGACCCGGTCCAAAGCCCCGGCAGCCGCACTATCCCAGGCGGCCACCAGGTCATCAGCCGAGTCGTGAGCTAGAGTTTCAGGAAATGGCCCAAGCTCCATCTGGAACCTATCAGGATCCATCAGGCGCCTGGGGCGGAACCACCTGGTCGGCTCCACCTCCCTGCAACGGGGTGCGGCGGTCAGAAAGTCAAGTCGAAGGAGCGAGTGGTCAGACCATGACAAGGGTTCAGTATCTATATCCCCTATATCAAGGCCACTCAACCACTGACCAGAGACAAAAACTAAGTCCAGAGTGTGTCCCCCCATGTGAGTAGGGCCGTGAATTACTTGGGTCAGGTCCATGGCCGTCATGGAAGCCATGAACTCCCGAGCTACCTCAGAAGTTTCACCAATGGATGGCAAGTTGAAATCCCCCATGACCAGAAGTCTGGGGGTATCAGCCGCCACCTCGGCTATAACGGCTATATTTTCCATTTTAGATTGCTAGTATTTTCCAGATTCTTTTAATATACTATTTTCAGATCAACATTTATATAATATTGTAAATTATTTGTAGTAACCTACTCACCAGTTTGTCTCTCAGTGCTCTTTAAAATATCATTGCATCATTAATAATCAAGGTTTCTGGAATCTGGAAGAAAATATCCAACAGATATTGGATCACTTCTTTTATGATCCTGGACATCATGAATATAGATATTGAATCTGATTGTGCACTGAACTAGTGCATATCATGTATTAAGGACTAATAATACAATAAAGAATCATAGCTGAAACAAATGATGATAGTCTCAATATTTCCAAATGGCCAGGGTTGCCAGTAAATGGAGACACAGTGGGTATTTTTACCACTTTTATTACCCCTTCTTTTCTAAGGTCATGATACCTCAATCATGAAAGTATAAAACCCTGGAATTACCACCATTCAGAAGCACCCTATATAACAAAAAGCAACATCTTGCATTTCTCCTGTCACTATTGTCATTCAGAGAGACCAAACCAATGTCATTAAAAATATCTAGGATAATAATAGGTATCTTGAACCCTTTTTGACATGTGACTTGAATGGCATGTCCTACAATCCTTTTGGGTTATTAAGCATATCATCTCTGTGAATTGCTCCATAAATGTTTCACATGCAAAGGTTTAATGAATATAATAATAACCTTTACCAACATTTCATTTTGAAGCTCCATTTACCTGAAATGGACTTTATCCAATAAATATTTCACAATACATTTCTCCTTTCCATCACCTTAACACCTTGCAAGGCAAATAGGAAGGTTTAATTTCCAGGCAAAATGTGTATCTTTCCCGAACTGGCTTTTATACTGTGTCTCATTTTGTGACTACATGGTTTTCTGATTATCATGTCCTGGGGTATCTCTTCAGGAGCAGTGATAGGAAATGTCATTAAGAAGTAATGTTCCTTTGCTTTGATAATCATGTTAGTGAATACTGGAGACTTGACAGGTTATGTATCATGTGGCCTACTGCTAATGGCTTTAATAACATATCTAGTAGCATTTTGTCAAGATTTCTCATTAATTTAAATTTGCCAATATCAAAACAAAAGGGGATGTGTGTGCATGTATTTGTGTGCATACACAGACTAATGGCGGTGGGTGGCGGGGAGGGGGATTTGGCAGCAACCAAGATACAGGGGGCATCAACTTGAAATGGGTTCCATAAATGGATCATCTCTTCAATATCTTTTCCCTGTGATGCTATAAAACTAGATATGCCAGAAAGAGGATCGTGAAAAACAGTGACATATTCCGGACAGGCTCTATTATTCACCATTTATTCTAATCTCTTGGTAGTTAACAATGCAATTTTCCATATGTCTACTCAGAAGTAACTCCATTGGCTGAATTCACTTTGTTAAAACATGCTTAATTTAAGTAGCTTGTTGGTATAATTGGTTGAACAAGCTAAATGATTCATCTACAATGCTGAAACACAAACTATGGTTTACATATCACAACAATTAGGACATATGTCACAAAGTGTCTTGAAGCTGGCAACATTTGTGAACTGGCAGCACCCCACCACTGACCCAGGGGAAATCAGCTGTGCTGCGTGATTGAGATGAGCTACAAAGCAGGAAATAAAGGACAGGAAAGAGTGAGGGCAGATGGACGGGGCCAACTGATTGTTGGAGCTACTGATTCACCTGAACTGGTCCAAACCGGCTAAATACCACCTCTGCTCTGGGTTTTAACCAAGACAGTGGTTTTGATATCCACTAGACCCCACCAGCCCTCTTTCTGGTTGTTGTACATCTCTGGGTGTTGGACTTTGTTCTTCCCATAGAACTGATTATCCTATGGTGGTACGTAGATGTTGCTTCTTCCTTGCCTCTTTCTCATGGTTCCCATATGACTGTAAGATACCAAGGTATTTGCAATTGGTATGTATGTCTGTTCTGTGTAGCAGACTTTATCCCATCAATTTTAACTACTTTCCCTCTCTTGACCACCATCTGACCCATTTCTTAAGGCCAAATGACATCCCAATGTCCTCACTGTAGATTTGTATTAGGTAGATCAGAGAATCAATGCCTCTTTCACTCTTAGCGTACAACTTGATGTCATCCATGCAGAGGAAATGGCTGATGGTAGTTCCACACTTGAACCTGTGTGTGTGTGTGTGTGTGTGTGTGTGTGTGTGTGTGTGTGTGTGTCTATGAATAGAATAGAATAGAATAGAATAGAATAGAATAGAATAGAATAGAATAGAATAGAATATCATGTCTTGTGTGGAAAGCATATCCTCTTCCCATTGTTTCTTTCTGTCTTTCTTCTAGAAAACTATATTTCAGGGTTGCTTCTTTATTCTGGTGCAATTCTAGCAGACAAAATTAGAAAAGGGAAAAATATTTTTTTGAAAACTATTAGGCAGCGACCGTTGCAATATTGTCTGTTAAGAAAATTGGCAAAAGAGGCACTTCTATGGTACACTGCCCTTTTGGGTAAATGTAGAACTTAAAAAGAAATGGGCTATAATGGTTCACAAAACACACACCCAATGTTTTAGCATAAACTTCTTTTAATCTAGATGGAGAAAAGTTGATTCCATGCCCAGCTCAATTCTTTAATAAGGTGGCCCATCAGTATCAAACATTCCAAATAGTATGACTTGAAGCAGTCCTGAAGCTGCTTCATGAGATTTGTGCCTAGGAAGATTTGTGTCTAGGAACAGCTTTGAGCCCATTGTCAGTCTTCTGGAACAAATGTTCCATATGTTCCTGGTCCTCAGGTTTCCTTCAATCTCCTCTGCCTATTTCTACATAAGTAGAGCCTTATAGTCCAAGACAGTCCCACCAGGCTACGGATTTGAAACCACCATCTGTCAATCTCATTACTACACCAGCACTAAGAGAGAATTACATCACAGCAAGAGGATATACTTGGCTATCTTTTTACATGAAAACCAAGAACTTAGGCAGAAATATAATGGGAGCTTTGTTCAGCAGGTATAAGGGTAAACGAAGCGCATCCATAGTTGGTGGAGGAGCAATTGTGGCTGCACACGGCATGGGTGAGTTTCCAAAGGAATGGATCAGAAAAATGGAGACACTGAGAAAAGTCAATGTTGCAGATTCTCTGATGCGTCTGGGACTAAATCAAGCATTCAAAATGTGAAATAGTTCATGTTATGTCATTGGGAATTACTTTATGTTTCCCATCAATTCATAATTTCTGGTCCTGTTTAGAATTTTACTTTCTGTTCAGTCATCAGGCTAACTTCCAAAAGCAGCTTTAGGCGATAGCTTTTACAGAAGGAAGTGGAGAAGAGGCTAGGTTTTCATTAATTTTGAGTTACTTTTGCTATCATTATTTATATTTTATTGATGCCTACAATTCCATTATGATTTTTCCAGTGAGAAGTGCTGAGATGCAATCCTCAAGATTATGTGTCTCCTTTTTAGGCTATCTCTTAGGGGATGTATGCAAGGAGGATGCACGTAGAGAGGAAGGTAGATGACCTTGATGGGGATATGCAGGGACTGATAAAGGCTGAACTGTTTTTAAAGACAAATTAACATTCTGGGGAGGCTTAGGCAACTATCTTCCTAATTCACTGAACTATAAAAAAAGGAAGGTACAGCACAATCAGATTTGCCAGATCCTGTTATTATAGCCAATCTCACAAGAGGTAGTTTTAGCCTTCCTATGGAGTTGATTTCCTGGTTTGGTTTACCTAGTGGAGTTGCCAATATATGAATTTGATCACAACCAGCAAAGGAAAAGCTATTATTTTTTCTTTGCACACAGCATGATCCCAACAGAAGTCAAGCCACTCTCAATAACTGACTTTGATTGAGATGATAAGCTAGTGACTAGCTCCTCTTGTTGTGAGAAATCAGGACCAAACTAATGCTTTGCTTCTGGTACTTGGGAAGACTATCAAATACCTGGCTTCTGCAGATTGTCTGCCTGCCTGCCTGCCTGTCATCTTCTTTATGACAGAAAAAAAAGGAGCTAGGAGTCTGGGTATACCAAATCATCAGTGATTACATTTCTTTTATGTGATGTTGTTTCTTTGTAATTTTTTTGGAGGTGTAGTTTTATATTTCCAAGCAATGAACATGATAACCCCATACAGCTGGAGTCACACCCTGCAACTAAGAGACATGTAGGAAAATTTTGTGTGGCTATACTTCCTTGATAAGAGAGGAGTTAACCCCATCCTGTTGGGTCCATCATCCAATGACTAGAATGATACTTCAGGGTAAGTGCAACTACTGGTCACAAATAAGCTTAATGAACAAGTATTTGATGTGCCTGGAGACTCCATTTCCACATAGTTATATCCTCAGACATAGTGTTAGCTGAAATAAAAGAAGATGGGGAGAGACTCTTCCATCCATCTTTCCATCTATCTATCAATCCCCTACCAACAGAAAAGAATAGCTCAGGGTTAAACTGTGGGGTCCTTGGTGCACTGATGATGTGCACTAGATACAAGGACAGTTGTTTCCTGAATGCCATCACTCTGCTCAACAACTAATTCCCACAACACTGTCAAATAATTTACTAAGACTGTATTACTATTATTCTTCTCTTCCTTACTAGTATCTATCTCTTCTCACTTATTACTTAACCATGTTGCTTGTATCTTTCAATTTATATTGGTTTTATTTGTTTCCTAGTACGATTTGATAGCTTATTAGTAACCTTGACTATCACTAAATGTTCTATCTTTTTATTCTCAATGAATGTATTTTATTCTCCTTATGTAAACTGAGAACATATACACCAAAGACAAATTCCTTGTGTGTCCAATCACACTTGGCCAATAAAGAATTCTATTCTATTCTATGTTACTTAGTTTGGTAATGAAATGTCTGCAGAGAGCACCAGGATCCCACATCTATCCTCTAACTTTGTGAGGCAGACCACCCAGTTTCAATTTTTTAGAAATAAGCAGGTACAGTAGGAACATGAGAGACCACCAGAATCAGCCATAAGCAAACCAAAAATACCAACGAGCATTTGATTAGGTTTTTGTCAGATGATTCTCTTTTGCCAAGGTTCAGAGGCAGAAAATAGCCCATTAGGGAGATTAACACTCAACACTTACATAGTGGGTGAGAAAAAACTATGCATTGGCTAAAAAAGAAACTGGCAGAAGAAACGGCTTTGTTTGCAGGAAATGGAATAATTTCCCAACTACTCAAAAAATACTTCAAACATGCTAAGTCACTAGGGCATAATAACACTGGCCTTCGACATTTTGTTTTGCCCCAAATGAAAATCCAAACTCATGTTGTCTTTCAATATTTATAATATAACTGTACATCCTCGGCTCTATCATTGAGCTATAACCATTTCCTGAACTATGAAAAGGTAGGATTAGCTATAGCTTTATGAACAAGATCAGATATGTATATATTAATCTGTTTGTTTGTTTTGCTGCTTTTGAGACATTATTGATTCTTGGACTAATCTCTGCAGTTTGGCATGATTTTCAGAAATGGTTTGCCCTTGCCTTCTTACTAGGACCAAGAGAGAGATTTTTGTGCCTAAGGCAGGACTAGAATTCCTGGCTTCTAGGTTTATGCCTTAGTGACTACACCAAATTGGTGCCCGTACATCATATTATGTAAAAAAATAAATGGATATGAATCCTCAGTCACAGATCAATATATCTAATTTATTTATTGGGGATAAATTATTTTATTTTAAAAAATATAAATTATTTTATTTTATAAATTATTTCCTAAATCACAGAGAGATCCAACCTAGAACAAAGGAGAAATTTCCTGACAGCGAGAACAATTAATCAGTTGAACAGCTTGCCTTCAGAAGTTGTGGGTAATCTAATACTGGAGGGTTTTAAGAAGAAATTAGAGAGCCATTTATCCGGAATGGTAGAGGGTCTCCTGCTTGATCGGGGTTGAACTAAAAGACCTCCAGGGTCCCCTCCAATTCTGTTATTTTATTTTTTGTCACATATAATTTTATTCAATAAAAACTTGTTTAAGAACTTGGAAAGTATGTGTGAATTTTGTTAAAGTGTACAAAAAGGAAATTCTCATTCACCTGCACTAGCCAAATACAATAAATATAGCTATTCGCAGTCTTGATAGTACAGTATTGTATCAGCCAGGTTGTTAAAGATAAGGACATTCTTTGTATCTCATTAATGGGAAAATTACAAATTTTAGAAAGTCTTTATCCCCCAAAGAAAAACAATCCATATGTTCATCTATCCCCAAGTATCTTTTACTCTAAGCCAACCTTATCAGAGAGAGGATACCATGGCTAAGATAACAAGTTACAATGCAGAGACATGCCATGCCAACAGGCTGGATATATTTACTGCATCAGTTTGCTTTATATATAGCATCATCAGTACGTATGGTATTTCAAAAGAGAATACCTGCTTGGGCAGGGGGTTGGACTCGATGACCTGCAAGGTCTCTTCCAACTCTGGTATCTGTTAAATACCAGGCTGATATTTAACTGTGCAGATGCTGGAGCATTTATTAAAAAAATGCCAGGCAAAGATCCATCACTTGTATTTCTAGGCAACCAATAAAGACATAAGAAGCAGTGTGGTGTAGTGGCTAAGGCATCAGGCTCGATTGTGAGTTCTAGTCCAGTCTTGGGCACAAAACTAGCTGGTTGATCTTGGGACAGTCTCTCAGCCTTAGGAAGGAGGCAATGCCAAAGCATTTCTGAAATCTTGCCCAAAAAGCCGCAGGGCCTAGTCCAAGCTGTCACGATAGTCAAGGCTGATTCGAAGGCACCAAATAAATAAATAATGGAGAATTTGCTAATGGGAAATGGATATCCGAAATTGTTTGCTATTGCTTTCTGCCTAGGGCTGAGAAAGAGTGACTGGCCCAAAAGTCATCCATCAGGCTTTGTGCTCAAGACTGGATTAAAGAAATATTCCAAAATCAGTAGCATATCCTTCTCCTCTCTCTCTGATGGTAAGAAGAACAATATTCCCTATTCAGTGTTTTTTCTAGAACAGTCCCTGACATGTTTGAAAATAACTTGTTGATATGAACTCCCCTAATGGCAGGAGGAATGAGCCCAGAGTATAACAGTTAATAAACATTTTACACATATTTGGTGCTGTTTTCAAAAGTCAATAGGCAAAATACATATATACCACAATGTAAGCAAACAACCTGCAATAGAGACAAACATAGTGACAAATCTATAACATTTTATGAAAGAAGCTGCCCAAGATATTTCTGTGCCTGAAGCAAAAGCAAAATGCCTCCCATTCTGTACACTGATGATGATTAAACTGCTGACAGCTGGAATCAAGAGGCACCACAGCAAGCTGTGAACTTAGTTTATGAATCATCTTCCGACACAGCCAGCCTATGTATCACCATTCACCATTTACAGTGGCTGCTTCAGTCTGGCTAATGGTAGGACCTGCCCAGACAGCCTACCCAAGAAACTAGTCAATCAGAATAAAGATGTTATTTTATTATCAAAGGTAACATTAAAGCTCCCAGAGGCACCACTTACGTTCTCCCTCTATGCTCTACTGATCAGTTTGGAGTCACAGATGGCTTTAGATCTTCTGGATTCAAACACTGTGCAGTCTCCCAAGTGGATTCTAAAGTTGACACACCACATATATGATAGTAAATAAAGGAACAGAAAAAGTCTGAATTTCTTTAGGAGAAATAGAAATTTTCCAATAAGTTTGGATCAGGAAGAATTCCCTCATAACAGCGATAGGAGGACTACTATAGAGAAAAACACAAATAAGGCATTATCTCAAGATGTAAAGGCTTACCCACACCTATCACTGCAAGAACCCCACAAAATTTACCTCAAATTGTCTTCTTCTGTGGAAAAAATGTTCTAAAACAGGGAAACCCAACCTTGGCAACTTTAAGATCTGTGGACTTCAACCCAGAATGCTGGCTAGGGAATTCTGAGAGTTGAAGTCCACAAGTCTTAAAATTGCCAAGGTTGGACATCCCTGTCCTAAAACAAATTCTCTGTTATCAGTTTGAATGAGATCTGGTAGAAAGAAAATGCAAGATAATTTATGTTACCTGATACCCCACTAATTTCCCCCCACCGCAGATAGTAGGAGAAATAATAAACAAGTAAATTCTGCTAGGGTAAATAATCTTTCAACATCACCCTAATCTTCATCCCAATTTCATATTCTAGTTTTAGAAATTCAGAAAAGATATCAGAATGTCTCAAGAAACTGGACACAATTTGCAATTCCTGTTGCAAAACCACTAAAAATGCATGTATATCATAGCGGAAAAATCTAATGAAGAGAACAGTAGCAATAAGTTGTTTTGAAGGTGTGTATCCTAAAAAGCAACACAATCTCACTGCTTTCACTCAGAATGAATATGCTGTTTTAAATAGGAATGTGAACAATAAACAGAAAAAAATCAGTGTTTTTGTAAGTCTCACTTACCTACCATTGAAAGACTATAAATGGTTTGACTGAAAAATTTATAGCCAAACACAAAGTATCTTCTACAATTTTCTTTAAAAGCACCCCTTGAAGGTAATAACCTATAAAATAGTGATACAGTGCTCATAGATATGAGTAAGAAGTAAATGTTATAGATATAAAAGATAAGCCATGTGTGAGACAATTTTACAAGTTGCAGAAGTGCCACATCAGTCTTAGACTTTTCACACTAAAATAAGTTTCTAACACATGGTGGAAAGAATGTTCTAGAATAACAAGCCCAGTTTCTCCTGTGTGGCCTAAATCAGACATAGTTGCTTTTGTAGTGGTATAACACAGCTATAAGATAACTATTGGCCTTGTGGATAAAACCAGTTTAACAATGATCTGTTGTGATAGGCCAAGTAACAGATGTGAGAGCTAAATGAATTTATCTGCAGTTGGTCTTGGAAAGCAATTGGATCCATTAATCTCTAGACATATGATTCTGTACTGGTTCCCTTTTCTGTCCATTAGTGGTCTTACACTGTTGAGATCTGCAGTTGGTTGACTGAGGCAAAGATAGAATGTGGACAAAATGCACAAATGTATTTCCCACTGAAACTAACTCTTTTCTGTTATTCTAATTTGTGATTGCGTTAAAGTGAAAGAAGGCATCGCTGGCAAGATTCATTATGCCTGATGTTCACCCTGAGTAGGTGCTGCTGGACAATCACTGCCTTATCATTTGACTAAGAACAATCTAGTGCTCTCTATTTTCATCCACATACTCAGTTTTTCTAATAATTTACAGTGTAATATTCCAGGAAGATGATTTCCAGAATGATCATTCCAACTTGATTATAACCTGAACATGTCATCAGACCATGAAAAATTGATAGGTCTCTAGACGATCCTGAATTCTATTAAATCGCCTCTTTACTTAATCACTGGACAAGAATAAAATAAGGGTAAATGGGAAGAAAACCATCCTGAAACATGGTGTCTAATTGTTAGTGGTAGAGATGAGGGTTTCTTTGGTTGCTTGTTTTTGTCTTAAAAAAGGAGATCAAACATGTTTTCAAATTGTTAATCTGTTCTTCTGTTTTCTTTTCAAAAAAGGGAGAGGTGAACAGTTGCATATTCCAATTCCAAATGGTACCTTGGGGATATCTCCAGAAAAACACACATACCTCATATTAAAGTAAACCCTCCGGCTCTAATTCATACCAGAAAAAGTGAAGCATTTTGAAAAACTCACACGTATCCACACTAATAGATTGAAGTAGGATGCATTTGATGTTCCGCTTTATTATGCTGCTTACATCTATCTCTCTTGTTTTACCCAGCCTACCTCCTGCTGGTTCACTTGCCTGAATACAACATTAATTGTCACCAGTGGTTTATGTACTAAAAATCAGCAACACTTCTCTTAGTAAAAGAAAAATCAAATTCAAAATTCTGCCATTCTTTAATACCTTCTACCAAATCCTGATCAGAGGTGGGTTGCAGCAGGTTCTGACCAGTTCTGAAAAACAGGCAGTGGAAATTTTGAGTAGTTCGGAGAACCGGTAATAAAATTTCTGGCTGTTCCCGTCCCCATCTATTCTCTGCCTCCCAAATCCCAGCTGATCAGGAGGAAATGGGGATTTTACAGTAACCTTCCCCTGGAGTGGGGTGGGAATGGAGATTTTACAGTATCCTTCCCCTGCCATGCCCACCAAGCCACGCCCACCAAGCCATGCCATGCCCACCAAGCCACACCCACAGAACTGGTAGTAGAAAATTTTTGAAACCCACCACTGATCCAGAAATACTATTTCAAGATTTTTTTAAAATTATAAGAATAGTGAGGTCTTGTGAAGGGAAAAGGAATTGTACAAAGCAATGCTATTGTCAAAATTTTGGATCCTAGTTTGAAATTTCAAAATTCAAGTATAAAAACTAAGTTTAAGCATGCTTGCCAAGGTGTGCTGAAAACCTGCACGCATTTACCACCACTGGGAGAGCTGAGAGTGAAGGAATGGCACTGTAGAAATCAAGGGTACTGTTTTTACAACTCTGAGTGCCGGATTCTATAGCATAGCCACCCATTTAGAGAATCCATTACAGAAGAAAATTAAATAGAAAAAAGGATATATAATGATATATAATGAAAGGATATATATATAATAAGGATATATAATGTTGATGACATGATTAATTAATTAATCAATGAGTCTAAAAGCAGGACCAAAAGCAATGGATGGAAACTAAAAAAGGAGAGAAGCAACTTAGAATTAAGGAGAAATTTTCTGAAAGTTACAACAATTAATCAGTGGAATGGCTTGCCGTCAGAAGTTGTGAGTGCTCCATCACTGGAGGCTTCTAAGAAAAGACTGGACAACCATTTGTCTGAAATGGTATAGGGCAGTATTGGTGAACCTTTTCAGCACCAAATGCCAAAACTCGTCGGGCGACTGCTCTTCTGGTTTCGAGGACGCGCATGCACACTGGCCACCTGGTGTTCCTGTTTCTGGTGTGCATGTATGTGCAAAGACCAGATGGCCGGTGCACATATGTGTGCCAGAAACTGGAAGAGCAGCCATCCAGCACACGCATACACACTGGGCAGCTGCTCTTCCAGTTTCTGGTGCTCCCACATGCAAGAAGACCAGCTGGCCGACATGCCGGAACCTAGAAGAGCAATGGGCAACGGCTCGCGTGCCCAGAGAGATGGCTCTGTCTGCCACTTCCAGCACGCGTACCATAGGTTTGCCATCATGGGTATAGGGTATCTTCTGCTCAAGCAGGGGGTTGGACTAGAAGACCTCCAAGGTCCTGTCCAATTCTGTTATTCAGTTATTCTGTTAATTAAATAGCATTGTGGCCCATTCACACAGTAATGACACCATGCTGAATTGTGGTCAGTGTCTGGTTTACATGTCAATTTAGTAATTACATTTCTCCACAGCAGTAGAAAACATAGTATTTTGATCTCCCTTTCTCTGCTAAAGCCTGCTTTCCATAATCACCTCTAGTCTGATACCTTATTCATAAATTGGGGCATCTTCAAACTGGCCAGTTCACATTTGCATCTCCACTAGTCTCACAGCTGCTGTGGCATTTTTAGTCAATCAGGCATCCTGTAACCAAAGTCAAGAAAGGGAGACATCTAGTCAAGATGAAATTTTAAAGGAGCATTTTAGTAAAGGGTCTTTAATTCACAGCTTTGTAATTTGGAAAATATTGAAGGATAGGTCTTGGAATCTTGTGACAGACTGTGCTGTCCAACCTTGAAATCTGATCAAGCAGTTATACAAAGAAATGAGCAACCGTAACAATAAAAGCACTTCCTTCCAGCTACATGACTCACAACTCTTTTGCATAAAGCTGATGAGAAAGTCACAAGCTGTCTGAAAAGTTTTGTTTCTACCTCTGTTCCATCCCTACCGTTTGCTTAACAAATAAGTATTCTTTGCAAAATCATAGACAGGGAAAAATTTGCCAGCTGGTTTCTA